CCAGGTCTAAATCAGGACTAAACCAGGAATAAACCAGGACTAAATCAAGACTAAACCAGGACTAAACCAGGACTAAATCAAGACTAAACCAGGTCTAAACCAGGTCTAAATCAGGACTAAACCAGGACTAAGCCAGGACTAAATCAAGACTAAACCAGGACTAAACCAGGACTAAATCAAGACTAAACCAGAACTAAATCAGGTCTAAAACCAGGACTAAATCAAGACTAAACCAGGACTAAACCAGGACTAAATCAAGACTAAACCAGAACTAAATCAGGTCTAAAACCAGGACTAAATCAAGACTAAACCAGGACTAAACCAGGACTACATCAAGACTAAACCAGGACTAAACCATGTCTAAATCAGGACTAAACCAGGACTAAGCCAGGACTATACCAGGTCTAAATCAGGACTAAACCAGGACTAAGCCAGGACTAAATCAAGACTAAACCAGGACTAAACCAGGACTAAATCAAGACTAAACCAGGTCTAAACCAGGTCAATCCAGGTCTAAATCAGGTCTAAATCAGGACTAAACCAGGTCTAAATCAGGTCTAGATCATAACTTTCCTCTCCTCTGTTCACTGTTTGGTTGTGGACTTGTGAAAGTGGTCATCTGGTCGTGGGTCGTGTGGGTGATGACCGCGGCGAGGGGCAGTGATTATGCTGTGGTGATGGTTTATTTCACACTCAGGACAGAGGACTGGGCCGGGCTTTTGGGCTGTGCTTTTGTTCTGGTTTCGTCCTAGTTTGCGGTGGTGTTTTTGGTGGTATTTTCGGTGAGCGTGGAGTCGTGCGGCGCGGCGTTGGGCCTCAGATGAAGTTGGGGTGATTAGAGCGCACTTAAAGAGCAGAGGAATCAGAGTCTATCACAAACACAGCCAGGAGCAAAACAAGAGCGTTATGAACAACACAAAGCTCCAATTTACAAAGAGACGACGAGAAATGAGCACGCTCCACTTCGGACCAAATGATCACTATGATAAATATGCACCAGCTAAACCAGGACTAGACCAGGACTAGACCAGGACTGAACCAGGACTAGACCAGGACTAGACCAGGACTAAACCAGGACTGAACCAGGACTAGACCAGGACTAAACCAGGACTAAACCAGGACTAACCCAGGAGTGAACCAGGGCTAAACTAAGACTGAACCAGGACTAAACCAGGAGTGAACTAGGACTGAACCAGGACTAACCAGGAGAAACCAGGACTAAACCAGGACTGAACCAGGACTAGACCAGGACTAAACCAGGACTAAACTAAGACTGAACCAGGACTAAACCAGGAGTGAACCAGGACTAAACTAAGACTGAACCAGGACTAAACCAGGAGTGAACTAGGACTGAACCAAGACTAAATTAGTTCTAAACCAGGACTAAACCAGGTCTAAACCAGGACTGAACCAGGACTAAACCAGGACTGAACTAGGACTGAACCAAGACTAAATTAGTTCTAAACCAGGACTAAACCAGGACTAAACCAGGACTGAACCAGGACTAAACCAGGACTGAACCAGGACTAAACCAGGTTTGAACCAGGACTAAACCAAGACTAAACCGGGACTAACCCAAGACTAAACCGGGACTAACCCAAGACTAAACCAGGACTAAACCAGGACTAAATCAGGGCTAAACCAGGGCTAAACTAGGACTAAACCAGGATTAAAGCGGGACTAAACCAGGACTAAATGTGGACTGCATCAGGTCTTAATTTGGATTTACATAAAAGTAATAACTAGGGGTCAGTAAGAACCAAAACTAGAACCAGAACAGGACTAAAGCAAAACAATGGACTAAAACCAGAACCAGACCAAAACTAAACCAGGACTGATCGAACTCTAACCAAGGACTAAACCCGGAAGAGCAAAAAGTAAACGTGGCCCATGTGACGTACAGACTGAGACGTGCACTGGTACATACACTGTAGAATCCTGCAAGCACAGAAATCTTTATGCAAAATGTGTGAATTAAGTATTTATGCAAATGAGGCACATTATGCATATATGCAAATGAAATGCCCTGTTTTAATTACACAGTCTGAATAATTGTGAATAATTAAAGATGAGAATGTTATAAAATATATGTGTAAAACAAGTGCTTAACGTAGCAGAACGTATTAAGGCTGAAAAGGAGCGTTTTTCAAAGTTGCCCGAGGAGGAGAATTATTTAAACTAAAAACACTTTTAAAATAATATTGTTTTACAGAGAATAAAATGAGAAAACGAGAACAAACAGACAATTTCAATGTCATTAGAATAAAAATTGGGCCACTGTATTATCAATGTTTCACTAGAAGCTGAGGAGATTTCAAATTTTATAATAATTATTAGAGACAGAGATTAGAAAGATCATCAAATACAAGGTGATGTTGGTGTCGCTGTGGTTTAAGGGTTTTCCCATCAGTGTTGGGAAGGTGACTTTTAAAATGTATTCCCCTACAGATTACAGATTACAGATTACATACCCCAAAATGTAGTTTGTAACGTAATCCATTAAGTTACTTAAAGTGAGTAATGTAATCTGAATACTTTGGATTACTTGATTTGTTGTAGAGAAGCAAAGACGAGGAAATCTTCACATAAGACAATAAGAAAGTCCAGACTTTACTAGAAGAGGAGGAGACACGGTCTGCGCAGCATGATTAGTCCTGTTAAATCCTGGTTTAGACCTGGTTTAGACCTGGTTTAGACTTGGTTTAGACCTGGTTTAGACTGGTTTAGACCTGGTTTTAATCCTGGTTTTAGACCTGGTTTGGACCTGATTTAGTGTCTGGCAATGAGTGGAATTGCCAGGAAAAAAAAAAAGGGATAGAGCCTAAATGTGAAAACAGAAAAATACCACTGTGTAATCAAATTACTTTAACAAAGTAACTGTAATCCAATTACCACTCATTAAAACAGTAACTGTAACCGAATACAGTTACTCATAATTTGTACTCTGATTACGTAACTCCGGTACATGTAATCTGTTACTCCCCAACACTGTTTCCCACTAATGACAGGGCATCTGGTTCAAGTCCCACCTCGTTGCTTACTACACAAAACACAGTAGACCTGACTTATGGGAGGACACACTAGGTGTAACTGGAGTAACAAAAGATTCATATGAACAAAAAAATATAAAAGCCATTTCAGCTTTCTACAACTCTCTGGGGGAAAGTAGAGAAGAAACAACTCTTTACCTCAAACGGAAATGGGAAACAGAGTTGTCAATTAATATAACAGATGCAGAATGGTTTCAGAAGTGTGAAATACACCACAGTACCACTAATTCACTGTTGTGGAGGGAATATTGTTGGAAGAATTTGACACTTTTTTTCATTACACCTAAAATCAAAAGTAGACAGACCTCCACCCCGCAAGAGCGCTGGAGGTTGTGTGGAGAAATGGACGCTGATCACACACGTGTGTTTTGGAGTTGCCTGAAAATGGGGGGATATTGGGAACAACTGAACACAACTTTAACGACTATTCTGGGATATGGAATTCCAAACACATGTCTGGTGATGTATCTGGGAAATATATCTGATGCAGTAAGGAACGATCACATGTATCTGGCAAAAATTATTTTAGCTGCATCTAAAAAGGCCAATATCTGGGTTTCACGTGACGTCACAGGGCGACGTTTGTCAGCGCAAAATCAGACGGAGGGCAGGAAGTGAACTGACTGGAGGAAAATGTCGATGTGTTGTGTAGTTTACGGCTGTGCCAATCGTTCTAACCGAGAGAAGGAAAAGCGATTTTTTTAGAGTACTGAATATAGTCGTCCACAAAGGTCAGAAATGGGAAAAGCCGACAGAACAACGCCGTAAAAAGTGGATTATAAACCTGTTTGAGGTCGGGAGGAGCAGAATCCGCAAATGCTCGTGTCTGCAGTGAACACTTCAACAAAGGTTTGTTACAAAGATAAATAGTTTTTTGTGGTTCACCTAAACATAAACGAATCATTAACGACTAACGACTAACGACATTTGTTGACATTAAATAGTTCAGATAGAGGTCACTGCCGATACACTGCAGTTTTTCCCATAACGTCTATACACATCAAATAAGAGAAACACTCACCCCGGCCAAGACCAAACCATAATCAGCATTTAGGCGTTTTGCACCAAGGTTGAGGACCCATCCACTCACACAAAAAGTGATATCCCTCCAAACCTTTGTACGTCTTCATCTGTTGTCTGGTGTAGAACGATGTCTGAAGAGCTCAATAGTTCATGATCTCCTCTGCCTCGATTGTCGGCAAATCTTTTACTTTGGTTGAAAATTCTCTCATTTTCAATAAGATCAGGGTCACACCCAATATATTTGTCGACTAACTGCTCGTACTTTTGTCTTGCTCCTGGCTCTAAATCCTTACAATAAGAACTCTTCTCCATATCTGTGTTCTCCAGAGCCGTGTTTGTCGTGTTTGTCTTCACTTCCTGCCCTCCACCTGAAATTCGCGCGTCATCGTGATCACGTGACTGAAACCCTCCTATTACAAAGAATTAGTTACAACCAAATCCACCTGCACAACGAGACTGGATCAGGATTGTGGAGAATATTTCAATGATGGAAAGAATAACATACAATCTTAAACTTAAAGGTACAAATACAATGAGCAATGGGGAAAATGGAATGTATTCATCAATGACACCAGAAAAACAACAGAGTGCACACAAATGTCAATATCAAATGCATGTTTAAATAAGAACCTGTAACTCCAGACTGTTGTTACATTGTTTTTTGATTTTATATAGTTTTTGTATGTTTTGAAATGTTAAGTCCCACCTCATTGCATGCTACCATTGTGTTTCTGGGCAAGACACTTCTAAATGCCTGAACCATGCACCTTCTGGTTACTGGGTGTTTAGGTTGGTGTTTTACCTTGTTAACTTGTGTACTGTTTCACCTTTGATCTGGTCCTAGGTCTGGTTCAGTTCTAGGACTTTCTACGCCAGATATTGAACCCCGCACCTTCAGGTTAGTGGGCGTTTAGGACGGTGTATTACCTTGATCTGGTCCCAGGTCTGGTTGAGTTCCTGGACTTTCTGGATCAGGTCTCGGGGAGGTTCGTTTCCGCAGCGTCTGAAACAGTCGAGTCTGGAGAGAAGAGCGCTCCTCTTGCCCTCCATCATCTGCAGCTCAGTGTGGGAGCTCTGAAACACAAAAGAAAGTCATTCAAAATCATCAGAAGAAAAAAAAAAAGAGCAGTAGACCTGTAAAGGAATGGTTTGGGGTTCAAATCCAGCTGTACTTGGTTGTTGCTGTGATGCAGATTGGCAGCACGTGTGTTTCTGGAAAGTTCTCTCATGTATATTTTATGTAATTCTGTCCTGGTTGGAGGTGAGTTTAGTCCTGGTCTAGACTTAGTTTAATCCTGTTAGTCACTGTTTTAGTCCTGGACTTTGTTTGGTCCTGTTCTAGTCCTGGAATACTCTCGGTTTGGTTCTAGTCCTGATTTAGTCCTATTCTAGTCTTGGTTTAGTCCTGATGTAGACTTGGTTTGTTCCTATTAGTTTTGCTTTAGTCCTGGTGTAGACTTTGTTTGGTTGTAGTCCTTATTTAATCTTGGATTAGTCCTGGTTTAGACCTGCTTTAGTCTTGGTTTAATCCAATCCAAAATTGGTTTAGTTTTATAGGTATAGACCTGGTTCAGTCCTGGGTTAGACCTGGTTTAGTCTTGGTTTAGTCTCGGTTTAGTCTTCGTTCAGTCCTGGTTTAGATCTGGTTTAGTCTTGATTTAGTCTTCGTTTAATCTTTGTTTAGACCTGGTTTAAACCTGGTTCAGTCCTGGTTTAGACCTGCTTTAGTCTTGGTTTAATCCTGGTTTAGACCTGGTTCAGTCCTGGTTTAGACCTGCTTTAGTCTTGGTTTAATCCTGGTTTAGACCTGGTTCAGTCCTGGTTTAGTCCGGTTTAGACCTGCTTTAGTCTTGGTTTAATCCTGGTTTAGACCTGGTTCAGTCCTGGTTTAGACCTGGTTCAGTCTTGGTTTAGTCTTGGTGTAGACCTGGTTTAGTCTTGGTTTAGTCTTGGTGTAGACCTGGTTTAGTCTTGGTTTAGTCTGGTGTCTGTTTCCTGGTTTAGATCCTGATTTAGTCTGTTTAATCTTTGTTTAGACCTGGTTTAAACCTGGTTCAGTCCTGGTTTAGACCTGCTTTAGTCTTGGTTTAATCCTGGTTTAGACCTGGTTCAGTCCTGGTTTAGACCTGGTTTAGTCTTGGTAACCTGGTTAGTCTTGAGTCTGGTTAACCTGAGACCTTTCAGTCCTGGTTTAGACCTGGTTCAGTCCTGGTTTAGACCTGGTTTATCTTATGTATTATGGTGCTATTGAAATAATTAAAAAATGGGAGCTCCATAGAAGTGCCAGCACACAGACTGAACTTTTCTCAGATGTGCAGGTCTCTATTTTCCAGTACTTAGTCCTGGGGTAGACCTGGTTTATTCCCAGTTTGTAGACTTGGTTTGGTCCTGTATTGGTCCTGGTTTAGTCCTGACTTAGTCCCAGTTTAGTCCCAGTATTGCAGGTGAGATTTGGGCTGGAAATCTGAAGGAGCTTCTTGGAGAGTGGGCTGCACCAAACTCTGATGTGAATTTGAGTGAAACTAACTTCTGACTTTGAGTAAACATAAACAGCTCTGACTTTTACTTTTATTAACAGTAAAATATGGTGAATATTTAGATAGAACAAAGCTGCTGCGTGTGCCTGTATTCCCACCGGATCTCACGTCTTTAAACGCACCTTCCTCGTATTTCTGTTGTGGGTTCGATGCTGTGGAGTGTTCGAGCCGCAGAAACATGAAAAGAAAGTTACTGCGTTTCCAAAACACAAAGATGTTTTTATTCCACTAAATATTTCTAAAGTGTTAGTGGTGAAGCAGGAGATGGGCCCATTTAAACCTCCCGTCCTCTGCTAAACTGTTCTGTAACTAAGGCTGCGTATGGGTACTTCACCATACAATACATAGCCCCATACATCACATTCAACTTTAAAAATGTCATATTTTTATTATGGACAATAACAACATTTACTGGAGTTTTCACGTTCACAAATCCATCAATATCAGAACAAAATTAAAGCAAGGGCATTATGGAAAATCCACTTTTTTGAGCATTCTACCATGTTATAACGTCCCCTCGTCAAAAACATGACAGAAGACGTTTTAGAGACATCCATACATGTTTGACTATTTGTTCCTGGACCCTATTCAAACCCTCCTTACAGTTTCGTACGTACCATATTTTTTGCACTATAAGTCTGCTTTTTTCATTTTTTGGGTGTTTCCAGCAACTTATATGCCAGTGCGACTTATATATTTCACACTGACAACCTCGAGAGGGCGCTCTAGGCTTATGTGCCAGTATCTACTACTCTGCTGCTTCCTGCTCTACTGCACATGTCTCCTGCAGAAAGAGTCTCTGTCCTGTCTGTATCATGTCAGTCGATCGCACCATTACTTCTGCACCACTGAAAATTTAACATTTAAACAAACTTATAAAGACATTGAGAAGACTGAACACAAATGCCCCCAAAAAGGAAATTAGATTTCGCTGATTACAAGCTGCAAATAGCAAAATCAGAAGCAGAAAACGAAAATCGAGCAGCAGAAAGAAAGTTTGGAGTGAGAGAGAAACTTGTGACACTGGAGGATGCACCATGAAACTTTCCTGAAGTCACTGGATGATGGACAAAGTCTGGACTTCAGTGACACTGAAACCATCCTGTCGGGATTCAGAAAGACCCGAATAATTCAAACTGGAACTGATGCTGAGTCTGACGACAGCGACACAGAAGAGGAAGTGACGCTCTGTTTAACCTCCGGAGGTCGAGGCCGAGTTGTTCAGAAGTGACACCGAGGATGAAGAATTGAATGGATTTAGTGATTTGGAGTAAGATGGACAGTTTGGTTAAACTTGTTCTGTTCTGTTGTTTATGTTATAGTTTATCTGAAGAACTGTTCATATGTGACGTTATCAGTCTGTTGTTCTCTCTTCGATTGTGTTTACTACAACTTGACTTTCAACAGGAAATGTCGGTTCCTGGTCTTTGATTTTATAAAATACATTTCCCCAAAAAAGTGCGACATATAGTCTGGTGCAACTTATATGATTTTTTTCTTCTTTATTCTGCATTTTTTGGCTGGTGCAACTTATACTCTGGAGAGTAGCGTGAAGTCCAAAAAATTCAGTGCCTGTACAAGGCTCCACCCACAAGTCTACTTCACCCATAGAGCAATTCTCCATAAATATACAACTACATACACAGAAAACAATACACTACAACTTCACAAACCTGATGTGATGTGCAGTAGTTTCATTAGCGAGATGCACAATGATTGTGTTGTGATAGCGCTCTGAAAGGGGAGTAACTTAACACAGAGAGCAAAGGAAGTATCACAAACAGCGTCTCATATCTTTGGACGCACTAAAAAGTCACATTCGTATTTTGAGAAGAGCTCTATTCTAACATAGTGAAATGTTCCAGAGTGGAGCTTTAACCCTATTGTAATGTGATGAAATGTTCCAGAGTGGAGCTTTAACCCTATTGTAATGTGATGAAATGTTCCAGAGTGGAGCTTTAACCCTATTGTAATGTGATGAAATGTTCCAGAGTGGAGCTTTAACCCTATTGTAATGTGATGAAATGTTCCAGAGTGGAGCTTTAACCCTATTGTAATGTGATGAAATGTTCCAGAGTGGAGCTTTAACCCTATTGTAATGTGATGAAATGTTCCAGAGTGGGGCTTTAACCCTGTCCTCATGTTGAGTCTGAGTCCTTGGACTAGAGTGAGTCTGTATCTCATCTTTGTCCTTGTCCTGTTTATTTACACTAATGCCAGAGTCATCCATCTCTTCTGTCTGACGCTCGTTAGTCTAACCTCTGCACCCCTCTTCTGTATGCTGCTTCATTTACCTCCTCTCCTCCACCGCTCTCTCCATCCTCTACTCTCTCTCCTCCTCCACCGCTCTCTCCATCCTCTACTCTCTCTCTCCTCTCTCTCCACCGCTCTCTCCATCCTCTACTCTCTCTCCTCCACCGCTCTCTCCATCCTCTACTCTCTCTCCTCCACCGCTCTCTCCATCCTCTACTCTCTCTCTCCTCCACCGCTCTCTCCATCCTCTACTCTCTCTCCTCCACCGCTCTCTCCATCCTCTACTCTCTCTCCTCCTCCATCGCTCTCTCCATCCTCTACTCTCTCTCCTCCATCGCTCTCTCCATCCTCTACTCTCTCTCTCCTCCACCGCTCTCTCCATCCTCTACTCTCTCTCCTCCACCGCTCTCTCCATCCTCTACTCTCTCTCCTCCTCTCACCACTCTCTCCATCTCTCTCTACTCTCTCTCCTCCACCGCTCTCTCCATCCTCTCTCTCTCTCCACTCTCTCTCCTCCACCGCTCTCTCCATCCTCTACTCTCTCTCCTCCCTCTTCACTCTCTCCATTCTCTATCTCTCTCCTCCATCGCTCTCTCCATCTTCTAATCTCTCTCCTCCCGCTTTAGCCTCTACCCGTTCCTTCATCACTCTCTCCTTCTTGTCCTCTTTCCTCCCTCTCTCCATCCTCCTTTCTCTCTCCTCCCTCTCCACTCTCTCTATCCTTTACTCTCTCCATTCTCTACTTTCTCCTCTATCGCTCTTTCCTTCTTCTCTTCTCCCCTCCCTCTTCACTCTCTCCATTCTCTACTCTCTCTCCTCCATCACTCTCTCCTTCTTCTCTTCTCCCTTTTCATTCTCTCCATTCTCTACTCTCTCCCTTTATTGCTCTCTCTTTTTCTCTCACTCTTCTCCATTCTTCTCTATCGCTCTCCATCTTCTAATCTCTCTCCTCCCTTTCACTCTCTCCATTCTCTCCTCTATCGCTCTCTCCATCTTCTAATCTCTCTCCTCCCTCTTCACTCTCTCCATTCTCTACTCCCTCCTCCGTCGCTCTCTCCTTCTCTCTTCTCTCCTCCCTCTCTCCATCCTCTACCCTCTCTCCTCCATCACTCTCTCCATCCTTCATCTCTCTCCTTCATCTCCTCCCTCTCTCCATCCTCTACTCTCTCTCCTCCCTCTTCATCCTCCACAACTCCTTCATCACTCTCTCCATCCTCTTCTCTCTCCTCCATCACTCTCTCCATCTTCTCCTCTCTCCTCCTCTTCTCTTTGACTCTCTCCTTC